TCAGGGGGTTGAGCCACAGTGGCTCCAATTCCCTTTAATTTGCCAAAAATATAGATTATTTTATAAAAAGAAGTGTATTTTCTGTTTTTCAGCACAGGGAAAAATAAGGATTTAAATGATTTCCCCCCCCCCCCCCCCCCCCCCGAGCGGGTTTTTTTGGGGGGGGAGGAGAAAAATCACTTTGGGGACTGGGAAACCTGTCACCCCCGCCTACCTGTGGGTGAAAATAACCTGATTTCACCCCAAAAAACCCACTAAATTTGCTCCAAAAAGCAAAAAAAAAGGACAAATTTCTGATGATAGTCCTTTTTCCACCCCTTTTTTTTGTTTTGGGTTTTTTTTTTGCGTTTATTTGCACTTTTTTGCCCATTCAGACTTTGTCCTTTCCCAAACAACATCAGCCGCGCCAGAAAACGCCGCTCCTGGGTTAGAATTGACCCAAAAAGGACTGAAATCACCCCAAAAATAAAAAATAGGGATTTCTATCCAAGTGCAAGGTGAGGTTGGGAGCAGGGCTGGGTGTGGGGTGGGGGGGGAGACCCCAAATCGGTTGGTTTTAACCCCAAAATGTGGCGCTGGGGGATTTTTCGGAGGCATGACGTCGCTGGGCTGCCGAGATTAATAATTTTTGTGGTTTTTTTTAGAAAATCAAAAATAGATATATTTAAATCGCAGGCTCCGGAGGCGGCTGGTGGGATGCAGATCTATGAGGTACTGGGGGGGGGCAGCAGTTTTGGGGTTATTTTGGGGGGGTTTATTTAAACCGTGTGAGGGGTGGGGGGAAAAAAGGCTGTTTTGAAGCTCCTGGAAACAAAAAATACATAAAAATTAAATAAAATAATGAAATAGAGGCAGTAAATATGAAAAAAAAACAACGGGTTTTTATGTGGGTTTTTAGGCCTCGGCCTGTTCCGGCCTCTCCCCCCTCACGGGGCTGGTTAAAAATTAAAAGCTTTTTGGCACAATCTGGTGGGATTTCACCCCCAAAAAATGGATGAAGGGACATCTGGGTCTGGGTGTGGGGCTCCGTGGGGCGACGCCTCCTTCCATCTCGCCCCCCCCCTCCCAGGTCTTCCTCATGGTTGTCTTCTTCTCCCTCGGCCGAGGAGGTCATGGGGCCTATGGAGAGGCCCAACCGCCGGCGGTGGAGAGACATTGGCAGCCCTCAGGTGGGTCTTCTTCTTGGGGCGTGGGTTGACCTCGGGTGATGGGTGGACGCCCACCCAGCTGCTCACTCAACCCTGTCTTGGAGAAGGATGGAGTCCTTTGGGATGGACCTTCTCCAAGGTGGGGTCTCCATGGGTTGGGATCCTTCAGGATGAACCTATTTCATGGTGGGTTGTCTATGGGCTTGGGTCCTTCAGGATGAACCTATTTCATGGTGGGTTGTCTATGGGCTTGGGTCCTTCAGGATGAACCTATTTCATGGTGGGTTGTCTATGGGCTTGGGTCCTTCAGGATGAACCTATTTCATGGTGGGTTGTCTATGGGCTTGGGTCCTTCAGGATGAACCTATTTCATGGTGGGTTGTCTATGGGCTTGGGTCCTTCAGGATGAACCTATTTCATGGTGGGTTGTCTATGGGCTTGGGTCCTTCAGGATGAACCTATTTCATGGTGGGTTGTCTATGGGCTTGGGTCCTTCAGGATGAACCTATTTCATGGTGGGTTGTCTATGGGCTTGGGTCCTTCAGGATGAACCTATTTCATGGTGGGTTGTCTATGGGCTTGGGTCCTTCAGGATGAACCTATTTCATGGTGGGTTGTCTATGGGCTTGGGTCCTTCAGGATGAACCTATTTCATGGTGGGTTGTCTATGGGCTTGGGTCCTTCAGGATGAACCTATTTCATGGTGGGTTGTCTATGGGCTTGGGTCCTTCAGGATGAACCTATTTCATGGTGGGTTGTCTATGGGCTTGGGTCCTTCAGGATGAACCTATTTCATGGTGGGTTGTCTATGGGCTTGGGTCCTTCAGGATGAACCTATTTCATGGTGGGTTGTCTATGGGCTTGGGTCCTTCAGGATGAACCTATTTCATGGTGGGTTGTCTATGGGCTTGGGTCCTTCAGGATGAACCTATTTCATGGTGGGTTGTCTATGGGCTTGGGTCCTTCAGGATGAACCTATTTCATGGTGGGTTGTCTATGGGCTTGGGTCCTTCAGGATGAACCTATTTCATGGTGGGTTGTCTATGGGCTTGGGTCCTTCAGGATGAACCTATTTCATGGTGGGTTGTCTATGGGTTTGGGTCCTTCAGGATGAACCTATTTCATGGTGGGTTCTCCACGGGCTGGAGTCCTTCGGGATGAACCTGCTCCATGGTGGGGTCTCCATGGGTTGGCGTCCTTCAGGATGTATGTGCTCCAACGTGGGCACTCCATGGGCTGGAGTCCTTCAGGATGAACCTGTTGCTCTCCATGGATTGGAGTCCTTCAAGATGAACCTTCTCCACGATGAGCTCTCCATGAGTTGGAGTCCTTCAGGTTCAACCTGCTTCAGCCTGGGCTCTCCATGGGCTGTGGGGGAAAGCTCTTCCATGGCACCTGGAGCATCTCCTCACCCTCCTTCTTCACCAATCTTGGTGTCTGCAGGGTTGGTGCTCTCCTGTTTTCTCACTCCTCGGTCTCACCACTGTTTTTAATCCTTCTCAAATATGTTCTCAGAGGGGCACCACCAGTTTTGACCAGCGGTGGGTCCATTTTGAAGCCAGCTGCACCCCGCTGCGTCCAAGGTGGGGCAGCCCCATGACTCATGTCACAGCGGTCACCTCCTGCACCTCCCACCCCTCTTCCACCACCCAAACCCTCGCCAACGTAAACCCAGTTCATGGTCTCATCCATCCCTCTTGTCCTCTGAGGCATGAAGGTCTCCACTCTTCTGATTTTTAGCACCACCACCCCCCATTTACCTGCTTTTCCCCCCCAAAAAATTAAGAAAAGTTGGTTGAGATGTTTCCACTCAGCGTTTTCTGGGGCAAAGGTGGGGCAGGATGGAAGGAGGTATCTCAGTTCACCAAAATCCTCCGTTTTTTTTCCCCCCTGCAGCCGCTGGTTGGAGCTTTCTACAGAGGAAACGAGGTGAGGAACCACCTTCCTACCTGAAGTGGGTGGCTTTTGAGGGCAAGCTGCCCGCCGACGCCGTCTCCAACTGGAATGGCTACGCCAAGAGGACGGAGTACGTCTGCTCCACGCAAGTGCTGGGCTGCAACACCGGCGCCTACGTCCCTGACCGAGGTCCCTTCTGCTTCTTCCCATACGGTGGACAGGAGCGGAGCACCCACGACTTCAAGGTGTTGGTCAACGTGGGAGACTTCGAGGCGCTGGATTGGGTGGACAAATCCTTCGGCAGCGTGCCCGAAAACGCTGTGGAGGGTTGTCCGTTCGTTGACATCTTCGTTGGGAGGAACCGCTACGGCTTGGGCAAGGTCTTCAAAGGGCAGAGGGCTCTTTTTGTGGCGGTAGATGGTGAGGAGGTTTGGTACAAGTGGTACCAAGTTTTGGTGGTCAAGAAGGGCCCAGCGAATGTCACCATCTCCGACGTGCGCTACAACGTGAGCGGGGCGGTGGAGCACAGGGAGGACGTCACCCTGACGAAGACCACGGTGAGGAACGAGGGCTGCCGTAGGACCCACAAAGCCGTCACCTTGGAGGAGGTCACCGAGATGGAACACGACTGGGAGATGGACCAGAGGGTCTTCGCCACCATCCGCGGGGTGTTGCAAGCTGCCCTCTTGGTCTTCAACGGGACGGGTTGGGAGGTCACCAACGTCACCGACGTCCCCTGGGTGGGGGGAGCCAGCACCAGCAAGTATATTGTCCACACCCACGTGGTGGAGGAGGAGGTGCAGCCCCGGATGGCGTGCACGGTGGCCCTGGAGGGACATCGGTTGGACGTCCACATCCCCTTCACTGCCCAACTCACTCGTGATTTTGGCGACGGTCAACTGCACCACGTGGCCGTGACGGGGTGGGCTCGCAGCCAGGCGGTGTGGGGCGTCCGGGCCAGCGTCAAGGAGTGTTGGGCCATCACCGACGTCCCACCATGCCGGGGGTAGTGGATGGTGGGCCAGAGCCGTGTGTCTGCTTCTTGCAATCTGCTTTTTCTGGGTGGTTTTTTGGGTTTTTTTCACCCCAAATAAATACGTCTCACCCCAAAATGGGACGGCAGCAATTTGGAATGCAGAAAAGTGCATTTTTTTAAATATTTTGGCCTTCCATATTTTTCGTTTTCGTGGCATAACCTTCGTCCCGCTCTGATGATGCGGCAGCAATGCAGAATGTAGAAAAATGTGTGTTTTTTCCCTCTTTATTTTCTATTTTCTCCAAAAGAACCTCCATCTCTCCCCCAAAAAACCCACAGCCGCTTAGGATGCTTATGGAGGTGGCATCACCTCAGGGCGATGGTGGAGGCTGTGTCTTTAGAGGACACTCATGGAGGTGGCATCATTTATGGGTGATGGTGGAGGCTGTGTCCTTGGAGGATGTTCATGGAGTGGCGTCACGTCGGGGTCATGGTGGAGGCTCTTTCTTTGGAGGACACTTATGGAGGTGGAATCATTTGTTGGTGACGGTGGAAGCTGTGTCCTTGGAGGATGCTCATGGAGGTGGCATCACCTCAGGGTGATGGTGGAGGCTGTGTCCTTAGAGGACACTCATGGAGGTGGTATCATTTATTGGTGACAGTGGAGGCTGTGTCCTTGGAGGATGCTCATGGAGGTGGCATCATTTATTGGTGACGGTGGAGGCTGTGTCCTTGGAGGATGCTCATGGAGGTGGTATCATTTATTGGTGACAGTGGAGGCTGTGTCCTTGGAGGATGCTCATGGAGGTGACACCATCTCAGGATGGTGATGGAGGCTGTGCCCTTGGAGAACACTCATGGAGGCAGCATCACCTCAGGGTGGCGGTGGAGGCTGTGTCCTTTGGAGGTGGCATCATCTCAGGGTGATGATGGAGGCTGTGTCCTTGGAGAACACTCATGGAGGCAGGATCACCTCAGGGGGACGGTGGAGGCTGGGGCC